CAGCAGGGAAGAGTTAGTGTGATCAGCTGCCCCCCCCCCCCCCCCAGGTGGCTGGCTTGGGCTGCCACTCTGCCCTGGGTGCCATACGAGGAAGTCAAGGTTGGTTTCTGGTGTTCGGTAGGTGAGGCACCCAGCACTAGCTTAAGCCAGACTGGCTTGGGTGAGCACTAGTTAGTGATTTTTTTAAAAATTTGTTTTGGGGTCATACCTGGCTATGTACTCATGGTTATGTACTCATTCCTGATGGGGCTTGGGCGGGTTCTATGGAGACCCAAGAATTGAATCCGGGTCTTAATTTGGGTTCTCTAGTATAAATTGTCAGGTCTTTTTTGCTAAAGGGTCAGGTGACATATTTTAGATTTGTGGACCTTTTTATGTTTTTGGTCAAAATGACTCAACTTTGCCACTGTAATGTGAGCAGATCCTGACAGTGTGTGATGATCAGGCTCTAGTCCAATGAAATTTTGTTGGCAGAAACCATTTGCCAGCTTCTGCTTTGGTAAGTGGATATACGTTAATGAGCTGAGTCTGTTACTTCCTCTTGGTAAGTGACCTAGTGGCCTCAACAGAACCTTGTCACATCCTCTTCACCGTTATTGCTGTGGTGGTCAAGTGCAGCAACCTCGTGTGTTTCAAAGGCGCGTGCCGCCAGTGGTGTTTCTGTTACTTGCCGTGTGTTCCTGACACCTTGACTCTTGTCGGCATGAGTGGGGTACTGCAGAGCAGGACCAAACCAGTGCTCAGAGCATCTCGGTGTATGTCTCTGGGGAGCCTTTACAATGCCAAGGGTGTCCAAGTCTGTGTCCAGGCAGGAGCCTGATACCATCGAGTATTTTAAGAAGAGGGAGCTTGCACAGAGAACCACTTTGGTCTCCCAGAAGCGTCTCTGTAAAACTCTGGAGCTGAGGAACATTTCCCAGGGAAGAGCCGCCTTGGAGCTGAGCCCTCCTGCTCGAGACTGGGGCTCAGGCCGCAGGGGAGAGGGAAGAGTTGAAGCCAGGGCTGTTGGCAGAGGACTTTGCTGGGTTGTCAGGGTCAGAACCAGTCTGCAGCAGCCAGCAGCGGAAAGAGGCCTGTCCAGACCGGGCGGTAGGGGGAGGGGGGGCGGGGAGTGGTGCTGCCAAGGGCTCCTGATCTGGTGGCGGAGGAACCGGACCCAGGGGACACAGGTAAGGGGCACCACTAAACAGCCACGTGGCAGGAGCCAGAATGAAGCAAGGGCAGCCCCTCTGGTGGAGGTGTGCAAGCTTCAGGGCCCCGTACTCACCACGTGTGACCTTGCCCAGTGCAAAGAGGAAAGGCTTCAGCAGACCTCTCCCCCGCTCCTGCCCAGCTGGAAGGGGGAGCTCAGGGCAGAGTGGCAGCAGCCTGGGAGGTCTCACATTCTGCTCAGCACCCCCCAGGTACACCCCATTTGGGCGTGCCTACTGGTCCTCTTCTTCTCTGACCCCTGACCTGGTTGCCTCTGTCTCCTCAGTGGCTGTCCCGCCCTTCCTGTTTCTGTAACACACCCCACATGCTCCTCTCCCGACCTGGGGCCTGGCACTCTCTGTCCCTTGGGAAGCTCATTTCCCCAGGAAGTGAGTCCTCTCGCCTTCCAGGAAGCCTTTGCTCAAGCACTAGTTTCTCACCCGGCCCACCCCTGGCCACTGCATTTACTACTGAGAGTCCAGCGCTCCTGCCCCCTCCCCATCCCAGAGCACTCGCCTCTTTTTCCTTGGTGCTTTGGAATGCAGCTCCGCTCATTCCACCAACGCTGTACCACCAATGTCACCAACACTTTTTCCTTAGTTTGCTTTTTATGAGTGGGGTGACATGGTACTTAAATAATGGGGGTAACACTGGTTTATAATGCTTTATATGTTTTAGGAACATAGAAATGTCAGATAAATGCTGCTTCCCATGCTTATCACCCAGAACCAGTAACTCTTAAGCACAGACCACAGGATCCCTTCCACTCTATCGCAGTTCTCCCCACTACTTTGATAACTTCAGTTCTGTGCTAAGAATCTAAGGGCTATTTTGGTTTTGTCTGTTCCCCTGCTTTGTTTCTCTATATTCTAAATATGGGCTGGAGCGATAGCACAGGGGTAGGGCGTTTGCCTTGCATGCGGCTGGCTCGGCTGAGCCGGGTTCAATTCCTCCGTCCCTCTTGGAGAGCCCGGCAAGCTACCGAGAGTATCTAGCCCACATGGCAAAAGCCTGGCAAGCTACCCGTGGCATATTCGATATGCCAAACACAGTAACAGCAAGTCTCAAAATAGAGATGTTACTGGGCCTGCTCGAGCAAATCGATGAACAACGGGAGGAGAGTGCTACAGTGCTATCCTAAATATAGGTGAGATCACCTGGTCTTTGTATTTGTTTTGATTTACTTTGCTTATTGGCAGACCCCTCCTCTAGTACCATCCATATCACAACTGTCAAGATATGTGCATTCGTTCCTCACTCCTCCCTTCCCCCACCAAAAAACAAATCTTTTAAAATCATCTCATGTCATTGGGCACTTGGGTTGTTTTTATATTTTGGTCATTATAAATAGAGCCACAGGGGCCGTAGCGATAGCACAGCGGGTAGGGCGTTTGCCTTGCATGTGGCTGACCTGGGTTCCATCCCCAGCATCCCATATGGTCCCCCAAGCACCGCCAGGAGTAATTCCTGAGTGCAGAGCCAGGAATAATCCCTGAGCATAGCTGGGTGTGACCCAAAAAGGGAAAAAAAAAAATAAATACAGCCACAAAGTACATAGGAGTGCATATATCTTTTCATAGATCATAAAATACAAAAACACTAGGAGTGGAACTGCTGATAATATGGTAGATCTTTTTCTTTTGGGGCCACAATCAGTTGTGCCCAGGAATCATTCCTGGTGGTGCTCAGGGGACCATAGCAGTGCGTGGTATTCAAAATAGTGTCGTAGTATGCAAGGCAGGCACCTTTTCTGCTGTACTACTATCTCTGTGGCCCTTATTTTCTTTTCTTGACTAATATCTTTGACTAGGATTTCAACATTCTTGTTGAACCTCAGAGGAAAAACTTTTGAGTTTTTCATATTGGGCACAGCATTACTGTGGGGTTGGCATGTATGTATTCTATTGCAATTTCTTTCTACTCCCATACTATTGAGTTACAAATTCAGATTGAATCTTTTTTTCTGCACTGATATGTGTTTTTTATTTTTCTCTCATTGATATGTTACATAGCATTAATTTGTGTTGGACCATTGTGATATCCCATTTATGGGACAAAAGCCACTTGATTATGCCATATAATTCTCAGTGTATTTATTATTAAATTCATATTGTCAAGATTTTGTTGAGGATTTTTGCATTTGTTCATCAGAATATTGGCCTGTTTGTGTGATTGTGAGTGTGTGTGTGTGTGTGTGTATGTACGCGAGTGCACATGGGCACTCGTGTGTTCCATTTTCTGCTTTTGGTGCTAGGCTAATGGTATTTGAAATGATTCCCTCTTCACTTTTGGGGACAAGTTTGACAACGGTGGGTACAGTGCCATCTTTGAAGATTTGTAGAACCTACAGGTTGAAATGATCTGGTTCTCGTCTCTTGTTTTGGGGAGACTTGATTCCTGTTTCAGTTTGAGCTTTTCTGTTTCCTTCAGATTCCGTCTTGGCAGGTTTTGTGGTTCTGCCAATCTGCCTGTCATTGCAGTGATTGCCTTCTCACTCTCTGGTTGCATGGGGCCTGAGAGCCAGCCTGGTGTGGGGGCCTGAGGACTTCACCCGCAGGGTGAGCACCAGGCAGGGAGCTGCCAGGACGCTGCTGCCATAGAGTGCCGGTGGCATAAGTCTCCGAGGGTGGGCAAGAAGGGACCGTGATTGCTGTCCGCTTCTGGCTGCGTCTCCTCACTCTGCTGGCCCACAGTCCTCACGCCGGACCCCTCTATCCAGCTCTATCATGACTGGGCTCAGCAGCTTTTGCAAACCGCTGAGCAGTGGATGGGGTGGGGGCTGTGGGGTTGGCCACACATCCATGATGTGGGGGACTGCATCTCAGTATGGAGCAGTTGCTCAGGAACTGCCTGTCATGTTGCAGAGGGACCAGTGTTTTGAGGGTCTGTGCGAGCTGGCTGGAAGCACACGTAAGGCAGGAGCCATGGCTGCAGCCTGGTCCTGGGGAGTTTTTTGTTTTTGTTTCACACCCCGCGATGCACAGAGGTTACTCCTAGCTCTACACTCAGGAATTACCCCTGGCATTGCTCAGGGGACCCTATGGAATGCTGGGAATCGATCCCGGGTCGGCCGCATTCAAGGGAAACGCCCTACCCGCTGTGCTATTGCTCCAGCTCCTCGTCCTGGGGAGTTTCATATACAATTTTCACAAGCAGTCAAACACCCAGGAAACACACATACATACACACACACACACACACGTACGTATGTGCATGCACACGCACACCACAGGAGACTGTAGGTCCCAGCAGGGCCTGGGAATGTGCAGCCTGGGCTGTGGGAGCTGGACTCCAAACATGGGGCCCTGGCTTCACCCTGCAAATTGCCTAGTTTTTATTTCCATGGTATTTTCCACTCTTTGTACTATGTAAGTGACTTATTTGTGATGGCTGCCTGCCCATCACCTCTAGGAGTATTAGCAGTATTTTGTCTCTTTTGCAAAGTCTGGGGTGCTTAGATGCAGTAAGTATGCTGATACTGGCGCCAAAGTGAGATTCTAGTATCATCATCAAGCAAAACTTAAGTGGCATGACATATTTTACTGTGACCGTGTAAAGCACTGTCCCATTGGTTTTGTGGACTGACTCTATCTACTCTCTTGGCTGATGAGGACAAGGTGAGTATATTTGGGGTTTCTCTGACTCTGAAATGAAGTGCTCTTTGGTTACTTTCTCTAAGTCACTCTTAGCTTCTGTGACTTCTCTTCTGAGTCAGTGACTAAGGGAGATAACTGTATAATAATTTATTCTTTAGAATGAGATCTTGACTCATAGAAAGTTAACTCAATATTTTTTTTACTTGCTTTTAGGTGCTGAATGTGGAATAAATGCAGATGTTGAGAAACATCTTGAATTGGGCAAGAAGTTACTTGCAGCTGGACAGCTGGCCGATGCTTTATCTCAGTTCCACGCTGCAGTAGGTCTGTATCTTAGAACCAGAAATGTAGTGGGCATGTTAGTGAATTCTGAATAATGGCTCTTTTATTTATTTATTTTGGATAACGTTTAAAATGGATGTTATTTTAATGTTTAAAAGTGTTGTGGGATGCTGGGTGAAATAGATTCATAACACAAATGCAGAACGTTTGAATCCTGATGTATTTGACATAAGAGAATAGTCCAAGAGACAGAGATATAATTGCTGCAAGTCCCAAGAATAATCCAAGTATAGTTTTGTTGTAATCTCAGGGCATTGCATATTTTTCTGCCTTTTTAAACAGATTTCACTGAATATAGTTACAGTTTCTTGGTGCCTCCAGAGCGTCAGTGTCAGAGTTATTTTGGGGCCCTAGGGGGAGCCTATGCCTTTTTGCCCTTTCAGTATTGCTCAAAACCCTCACTCCTTGGGTGGTTACCTTAGTCTAAGCATCAAAGTTCTTCATAGTTTTTGATCTGTAGTTAATTTGAAAAATGAGATGATCACTGTAAGTAGATTCAGAGTGGGGACATAAGGGATTTTCTTAGAAGTTACTGCATACTTTTCTGCTAGGACTTTCAGACAGTGAAGCTTTTTGTAAAAAAAAAAAAATTGATTGTATAGTCTCACTTTTATTTGGCATGAATTAGTGTGACAAACCTTTAGACTGCAGAGTAATGAGTTTGTGCATTTTTAGATACTGTTGTGCTCTCTGCAAGAATCATAGTATTGCCTATAAACAAAACATAGGTTGTGGTTTGGCAATATTTTTCTGCTTGCTCTTGCTTAAACTCAGATAGGAGACCTTGAGTTTTAGTTTTGGCTTTGCCACTGGGTATTGGTCAGGTGCCGTAAGAAAATGTTGGCTTTTTCAGCAGTTTTCATTACCATACCCCACCCCAGCAAGGGCTTTTATGAAGACTCAAAACATTAATATTTTTCGTAATTTGAAAATAATGTATCACTGTATCACTGTCATCCTGTTGTTCATTGATTTACTCAAGCGGCTGCCAGGAATGTCTCCATTTGTCTCAGCCCTGAGATTTTTTTTTTCTTTTGGGGTCACAATCCAGCGATGGTCAGGGGTTATTCCTGGCTCTGCACTCAGGAATTATTCCTGGGAATGCTTGGGGGACCATATGGGATACTGGGGATCAAACCCAGGTTGGCCGCGTGCAAGGCAAACGCCCTACCCACTGTGCCATCGCTCCAGCCCCCAGCCCTGAGATTTTAGCAGCCTCTCTTTACTCGTCTTTCCCAACAATTGGAGGCTCTTTCAGGATCAGGGGAAAATAATGTGTAATCTGAAAATCAAGACTTTCCTAAATACAGATTTGCTACATTAATAGATTTGTTTTTGTTTGTGGCACACACCTAGCAGTAGCTCAGGGCTTACTCCTGTCTCTGTCTTCAGGGATTTATCCTGGCAGTATTCAGGGGGCTGCTGGGGATTGAATTGGGGTCAGCTGCCTGCATGGCAAGCACCTTAACTCCTATCCAATCTCTTTGACCTCTGAGATTTGAGTTTCAAATAAGATTTTCTAAACCATGTGGAGTCTAAAAAAATTTTTAAGTTTGTTTCAATGATCACCTTAAAAAATGGTGTCTAACTGGCACAACAATTTGTACAAGGCATTTTTCTTTCTTTTAATGTGAGGCAGCTCCTAATCAATGCACAGGGGACCCTGGTTTCGGGGTCTGAAAATTGGGCTGCGTGGTTCAGTGTTTGGGTCCATGGTGCTGGGGGTTTTGGGAGTGGGTGGATATCGTGGTCACACCCAGTGTGCTGGTGGGGGTCTTTTTCAGATTATCCTTGGAGGTGCTTGGCAGTGCTGGAGGTGGGATTTGGGGCCTCACACACACGCATGCACTATTGCCCTTTGAGCTGTCTCCCTGGCCTGTGAGGGATTTTTCATGTAGGTGTTAGCTCTGAGACCATGTTAATGCAAAGTGAACATGTTTTTATTGATTCCAGTTGTCTTGTGACATGGCAATTAATTTTTTTCAGTTATGTGTTCGATAAAATATGTCAGAAATATATTGGTTATTACTACCACAGGAATATTTGTAGAAACTATTGCTTGTTTTATGCTTTAAAAAAAAAGTTCTTCCTCGGGTCTTTAATGCATTAAGGTCTATAATGAAAATGATTTAAGATGATTGCTCATTTTTCTTGAGCTTCACTTCATACAAAAATTCTTGAGAGAGTCTCCCTCCCAAAATATCCAGTAAAATATTGCTTTCCTTGGAAGAGGTAAGTTAGTAAGGCCTTAACACCATTTATTGGCATGGTTGGTCAAGGGAGGAAATGACGTGCTCCTAGCGTGCTCAGATTTTGCCCAGCAGTGCTTTTTGTTTTTCGTCATTTGATGAGTGGCCATGATTCTCAAATGGTGCATATATTCTCATTTCTGAGTGTAGCTTGAGACATTCGACCTTTAAGTTCGTATGAAATACTGATTGCTCAGAGAAGAATTACAGTAGAAAATAAAGTCAAAATTGTGTGTTTGTGGAATATATGGGAGATAGTGATGTGGTGATAAGGTGTCATGGCATGTTGAATTTCGTAGGAAATGTGTCTTTACCAGAACAGAACTGCAGATCCTCTGTTTTACTTGGTGTCAGATTTCCCTCCCCTCCATTCTCCTCTAGCCCCTATGTCCCTCCCTCTCTCCATCTCTTCTCTCCCTGTGTTTTGTGGGCTATTTTGAGGAGGGGGGAGTGCTGAGAGTCCAAAGCCCTGTACTGTCTCTGGCCTCTGTGGTTTTGAGTTGTATTGCCCTATTGACTTGCGATGCTGAGCACTTACTTTCCTGTTTATTGGCCATCTGTATATTTTCTTCCATAATGGTTGTATCACCTGTTCTCTCCTCCTACCTGTCAGTTGTACTTTAATTTTTGGTGCCATTAATAATGATTTAAAACCACAAACCTCAATGATGGTATCCTGTATTATCATAGAGATTGACCTATTTTCTAACAAGCAGGAAACTGGCTGGTCAGGCTGGGAAACAGGGGGCAAGGTTCCAATTGGCTGACAGATCAAATTTTGCCCTGGGAACTTTTGCCCTTCCTTTCTCAGCCTTTTTCTCCCTGCCATTTTTGAAAGAAGGCTGGAACGATAGCACAGTGGGTAGGGCATTTATCTTGCACGTGGCAAGGTAACCTGGGTTTGATTTCTCCATCCCTCTCGGAGAGCACGGCAAGCTACTGAGAGTATCCCGCCTGCATGGCAGAGCCTGGAAAGTTCCCCCTGGTGTACTTGCTTGATATGCCAGAAGCAGTAATAACAAGTCTCACAATGGAGACGTTACTGGTGCTTGCTCGAGCAAATCGATGAACAACAGGACGACAGTGCTACAGTGCTATTATTTTTCAAATGATAAGACCATCAAGAGTAGAAATTTTAGAAGACCTTTCATTGTACATCTTATAATAATGAACATGTGTGTGTAAATATTAAGTTTTAAAAAGGTGGCTTGATTTGGTTAAGATCATTTAAGTCCTACCCAACCCCCTTTGCTGAGCAGAAGTGAATTAATTAATAAGCCTAAGGCATCCATTTGCTTTTCTGCCGATTTCTTTACTCATTCTCATTTTCATTTTCCTTCTGGTTTGTGTTTTTCTTTCTTCACTGCTGCCATTGTCTTGGCATTTCCTCGGGAGCATAGATGTGCATTCAGTATGTCGGTTTAATTAGAAGTCTAGATTTCTAAAATTCTGTGATGAGAATATTTTAGAAAAGACAAGGACTGAATTATAAACTTACTAAAGTAATGAGTCGAATATGGTTACCATTCCACACCAGAGGTCGATGAACTTTTTTCTCAAGGGTAAACCCCTTAGGCTTTGTAACTCTACAGTCTCCGCTGTATGTTCATCTTCTTCTTCTTTTTTTTTTTTAAAAACAAGTTTGAGAGCAGTAATTATTGTTTCAATTTTCAGATGGTGACCCTGAAAATTACATCGCTTACTATCGGAGAGCTACTGTCTTTTTAGCTATGGGCAAATCAAAAGCAGCACTTCCCGATCTAACCAAAGTGATTGAACTGAAGATGGATTTCACGGCAGTAAGTGCAGTTTAACCTTTTTTAAAAGAAGAATTTAAGGGCACTTGGAAGCGGTCGTTGGTTACTTCAGAGGAGGCCTGGCATAGGAGATGTCTTTGATGTAGTGAACTGGGCAGCTGGAGAGAATGCCCCAATCCCTGGACTTATAGGTCAATGAGAAAGAGGGCCAGTGGAATCCAAGTGTTTTAGAAGCTTTTCCAGTGGTGTTTGCTTTGTAGCTCAGAAGATGAGTCTGCCTGGAGGCTGGAATGTTGGGTGAGGTGTAAGGCTGGGGGGTGAGGGTGGTGGTGGTGGTTGGGGGGGTGGTCAGAGGCTGTGTCAGGTGACTGGAGACAGTTTCAGTGAAGGTGTGGAATAAAGCTCAATAATAAAGAATAAAACTCAATAAAGAATAAACTCAAGTGAAAAAGACAAGAAACAGAAAGATGGAGGAGGAGCGGCCGCTCTGTGTCAAGAGGGGAGAGATGTCCTTCTGGGCATAATGGGATATGTAGTTGTAGAACGGTTTTCGGAGTTTTAGTAAAGTCCAGATGACACAGTTTTTTATGGCAGTAGCAAAAATATATTTTAAAAAATGAGATGTAATTCACATACTATCACATCTGCTTTCTTTCCTTATTTGTGGAATAATGTGGGCTATCCAGCCCAGGGTCTCATACGCATCAGGCTTGCATTTTACCACTGAGCTGTAGTTCTGATCCCTACTTCACCCTTTCTAAAGGCATACAATGAAGTACAAATGAAGTCATAAAGTATGTTTTTTTGTGTGTGTCTGACTTAATTTTCCTTAGCATGTTCTCAAAGTTCATCCATGTGATATAATATGTATCAGGATTGTATTCCTATAACTGAATAATGCTGAATTGGATAGCCATGGGCTGGAGCGATAGCACAGCGGGTAGGGCGTTCACCTTACAAGCAGCCAACATGACCAACCCGAGTTCGATTCCTCCGCCCCTCTCGGAGAGCCCGGCAAGCTACCGAGAGTATTCGGTATGCCAGACACAGTAACAACAAAGTCTCCAATGGAGACGTTACTGGGCCCGCTCGAGCAAATCGACGATCAGCGGGAGGGCCTTTACCTTTACCTTTATTGTATTTGCTTATCCATTCGTTACCTGATAGGCTATTGATGGTTTCCTCCTCCTTTTTAGGTGGGGGCACAGCTAAGAGTGCTCGGGGCTTATTCCTGGCTCTCTGCTCAGGGATCACTCTCGCCGAGGCTCGGGGGGACCCTGTGAGGTGTTAAGGATAAAATACTGTTTGGCTGCATACAAGACATGTGCCCTGCTTGCTGTACTATCCTTCTAGCCCCTCCTCCTTGCGTTTAAAGACAGTATAGAGATACATAACACTCGGGTGTCCTTTCTTTCATTCTAGGCAAGATTACAGCGAGGCCACTTATTACTCAAACAAGGGAAACTTGATGAAGCAGAAGATGATTTTAAAAAAGTGGTAAGTTCAGTTGCTATTTGTCCCTGTGAACATACCTACCAACCACCCAAAACCCAACCCACATGTTGAGTGGACATTTTGTCCCTGATTCTGGGTGTTAAGACATTTAATAATTCTATTGCCTAAGTGGGGACCACTTGATCTGTGTAAGAATCACAGTTCCTGAACTGATATTCAGTGATTAACGTCAAAGAATCATATCAAAAGTTGGAAGGGAAAGTGTACAGAATCAGCATACAATTCTGTTTTCTGCTTTCTTCTCCATGAGATTCTAGAGGTGTCATCTGAACTCTTCTTAAAGTCCTCTGAATCACTTGGGAAACCCTTTGATTGGAAAGGATTAAAGAAACAGATACTTAACAGAGGAATGTTCTAATCTTTCATATGATGACTTTGCAAGAAGTAAAGTACTTTGGATTTCTTGTGGGGATGATACAGAATAATTAAAATTGAAGGGGTCATATCCTGAAAAACATTTTAGTAAGTCATGTACTGACCGGTATACTTATGCTCTCATTTCTTTGAAGACCTGCATTTCTGCTCTATATGGATTTCTTGATTAGGCTAAAGAGGGTACATATAACAGCATGCCATCTATAATTTGCCTTATTTGGGTGTTCAGCAAAATGTTTACTGTGATAACTGTGGTGAAAATAAAACTGAAAATTGTGTGTATGTGTGTGTGTGTGTATGTGTGTCTGTCTGTCTGTCTGTGGTGGGGAGTGGGTGGTGCTGGTATGCAGGGGCCCAAGCACTGGCCATGTACACTGCAGGTGTGTTAAAAATTTTCAGGTGGGTGAGCAATAAATCTGGAGAACGTGTTTTCTTCTTCTTACTAAGTGCTGAAATCTGTTCTTTAGTATTTCTTTCCAGTCACAGTTTCAGTGTAGCCTTTTAGAATTAAAAGAGCTCTGTGGGCTGAGTCATGCTTTGTGTGTAGGAGTCCTGGGTTTGAGCCCCAACGTTGCGTGGTCCCTCATCAGGTGCGACCCCCTGAGCCCCAGCCTACCAGCCACCCAAAACCCAGACAATATAAGCAGCAACAATCCAGAGTGAGGCTTTAACCCAGCTCACTTCCCGCTGGACGTGCCAGGCCGCCTGTAGGAAAATGGTGTTCTTGGCACTGTGGCTTCGTCTTCTCTTATATCTTATCTGTGATCAAACTTGAACCTCTCAGAAACAAGGGGGCTTTCAGGAGACTTTCTATCTTTAGATCGGTTTGTGATAGATTTCTGCTTGTATATTTTAGAGATGGCCCTTTCTGCTACTATATTACATTCTCCCTTGAGAATGTGCTTCTGTATTGAACATTTCAAAAATTTGGCCCTGAAATTTTTATTGAGATAATAATGACAGGTTCACATGCAGTTGTAGGAAATAATGTCAATAGGTCCCGTGTCTCTTTCACCCAGTAGCCAGTTTTCTGCGGTGGTAACTAAAACTGTAGCACAAAATGGCAGCCGGGATCCTGACGTTGACGCAGCCTGCCAAAATCCTGATCCTGGTACCCATTTCGGTGAGGATTTCATTCTGTGCCCTTCTGGCACAGCTAACTTGGTACTGAAGATATTGAACAGAACAGTTTTATTGCCACAAGGACTTCCTGTCCTGTTAGAATCACCCGCTTCCTACCTGCTACACCTTGGCCTCTTACTCACAGGTCCTCCCAGCCACTAATTTGTCACTTATTCCTTAAGTTCTAACATTTCAGAGACTTTCCATTCATGGAATCTAGTATAGAACCTTTTGCAGCAGACTTTGGTGGGTGCTTTTTGTGTGTGGGGAAAGGAGACCTCCCTATTTTTTTTTTTTTGTTGTGAAAGTTGTGAGATTTATTTATTTATTTATTTATTTTTATTTTTTTAATTTTTTTTTATTTATTGAATCAATGTGGGAAAAGTTACAAAGCTTTCAGGTTTATGTCTCAGTCATGCAAACATCAAACACATTTCCCTTTACCAATACTTATTTTTTACCATGAAGAACCCCAATAAAACCCCACCCCCCACTCCTCCCCGTCCCCGTGAGGCAGATGAATTCTAGTTAACACTCTATCTGCTTTGATTAGATTCATTGTTTCAATAAAAGATTCACCACTATTATTTAGAGTTTACCCACCCCCCCCCCCCCCAAATCAGACATGCTGAAAAAGCATTGTGAAGTGATTTGCTTTCTACAGCTGGGTTCAAGAATTAAATGTTGGTTTTGGATTTCTGCTATTTTACCTATTGACCCTGGAAGTATTTCTACTGAAAGTCAGATAGTTAAGAAATTGGTTTCTGTGTTCTGGAGTCATGGCCGTGCTGGAGAGCCGCTCACGGGGGGCAACTGTTGACCTCGGTAGGGCATGAAGGACGGACCGGAACGCCCCCCCCCCCGACCCATGAGGTTTTAGTCGCCCCCACTCCCCCGGCTCATACCTGCTGTCCACAAGGCTCCCATGTGGCCGCCATCTTTATTTCCAGAGGGAGGAGGGCGGAAGGGAGCAACACCCTTTCCCCTCTGGGCAGAAATGATTGCCTGGATTAACGCACAGTCCTTTCACTTTTCTGCTCCAAGCTGCTGGGTTCTGCATTAGGTCATTGTGCTTCTGGGGCTGTGGCCGTGCTGGAGAGCCGCTCGTGGGGGCAACTGGTGGCCTCGGTAGGGCGTGAAGGGCGGACCGAAACGCCCCCCTTCCCATGAGGTTTTAGTCGCCCCCACACTCCCGGCTCATACCTGCTGTCCACAAGGCCTCCATGTGGCCGCCATCTTTCTTTCCAGAGAGGAGAGGGCGAATGGGGCAACACCCTTTCCCCTCCGGCAGACTTGATGGCCTGGATCAACGCATAGTCCGTTCACTTTTCTGCTCCAAGCTGCTGGGTTCTGCATTAAGTCCTTGTGCTTCTGGGGCCGTGGCTGTGCTGGAGAGCCGCTCGTGGGGGGCGACTGGTGACCTCGGTAGGGCGTGAAGGACGGACCGGAACGCCCCCCTTCCCATGAGGTTTTAGTCGCTCCCACACCCCCGGCTCATACCTGCTGTCCACAAGGCTCCCATGTGGCCGCCATCTTTCTTTCCAGAGAGGAGAGGGCGAATGGGGCAACACCCTTTCCCCTCCGGCAGACTTGATGGCCTGGATCAACGCATAGTCCATTCACTTTTCTGCTCCAAGCTGCTGGGTTCTGCGTTAAGTCCTTGCACTTCTGGGGCCGTGGCTGTGCTGGAGAGCTGCTCGTGGGGGGCGACTGGTGACCTCGGTAGGGCGTGAAGGACGGACCGGAACGCCCCCCTTCCCATGAGGTTTTAGTCGCTCCCACACCCCCGGCTCATACCTGCTGTCCACAAGGCTCCCATGTGGCCGCCATCTTTCTTTCCAGAGGGAGGAGGGCGGAAGGGAGCAACACCCTTTCCCCTCTGGGCAGAAATGATTGCCTGGATTAACGCATAGTCCGTTCACTTTTCTGCTCCAAGCTGCTGGGTTCTGCATTAAGTCCTTGTGCTTCTGGGGCCGTGGCTGTGCTGGAGAGCCGCTTGTGGGGGGCGACTGGTGACCTCGGTAGGGCGTGAAGGACGGACCGGAACGCCCCCCTTCCCATGAGGTTTTAGTCGCTCCCACACCCCCGGCTCATACCTGCTGTCCACAAGGCTCCCATGTGGGGAGACCTCCCTATTGATGCCGGTGGCCACCAGGTCCACACCTGGCAGTACTCAGGGGCCCATGCAGTGCCAAGGCTCCAGCATTGGGCCCTGCAAATTCCAGTCTGCTCTCCAGTCCTGGGCGTTATCTTCCTAGCCCCTAGAACCGATTCTTCTTGCCTCCTTATGGTTTTCTGGAGATTTATCCAGATTGTTGCATTTAGCTTATTTCAATTGCTGATTGTTCTGTGGTCGGTGTCTGGCACATTTTACTTATCCACTCATCAGCTAGTGGACATATGGATTGTTTCTACTTTTTTTTTTAACTTTAATTGAATCACTGTGAGATGGACCCTTATAAAGCTGTTCATGATTAGATTTCAGTCACACAGTATTTCAATACCCATCTCTCCACCTGTGTACATTTCCCAGCACCAGGATCCCCAGATTCCCTCCCATCAACCCCACCCCCCACTTCTGCCTGCCTCTATGGTAGGCAGGCACTCTCTCTCTCTCTCTCTCCCTCTCTCTCTCTCTGGCATTGTGGTTTGCAGTATTGATACTGAAAGGTTATCAAAAAAATCTCTACCTCTTTAACCCTCAGATCTTGTCCAGCGTGATCATTCCCATCTATTATTGTCATACTGGTCCCTTCTCTATTTTTCCTACCCTCAGCTCCCCACACACTTGTGGTTAGTTCCAACCATTGACCAGTCTTCCAAGGAAGACTGTTTCTACTTTTTTTGCAATTTAATAATAAAACTGCCCTGAACATTCATGTACAGGTCTTGGTGTGAACATAAAGTTTTCATTTCCTAGGGTATTTACCCAGGAGTACAATTTCAAGGCTCTACGGTAATTACATGGTAATTGCGTGCTTAGTTTTTATAAGAAACCACTAAACTACTTCCTCCAGTGCATTCTTCCTCTGCATCTTTCTAGCATTGTGATTGTAACAGATTTTTCAGTTAAGTCCTTCTGATGGGGTGAAGTAATAACTATTGTCTTAACTTACATGTCCTTAAAGGCAGTGACCTCAGGTGCTCATTTTCCATTTATAAATCTTTTTTTTTTCTTTTTGGGTCACACCCGACGATGCACAGTAGTCACTCCTGGCTCTGCACTCAGGAACTACCCCTGGCGGTGCCCAGGGAACCATATGGGATGCCGGGAATCAGACCCGGGTCAGCTGCGTGCAAGGCAAATGCCCTCCCCGCTGTGCTATCGCTCCAGCCCCCATTTATAAATCTTTTTAAAATTTATTTTTTATTTTTGGTGGGCCACACCCAGCATGCCCCAGGCTTACTCCTGGCCCTGTGCTCAGGTTTGCTCATTGGCATGCTCGAGGGACCATACTTGGTGCTGGGGATCAAATCGATGCCAGCTTCATGCAGGGCAGGTGCATTACCCCTTAGACTATCTCTCCAGCCTTAAACATTTTTTTTTTTTAAAGTGAAACATTCATTCTTTTGTCCCATGTTCTGATGGGAATATTTGCTTTTATAGTGTTGTGTTTTGAGTTTTCTCTCTGTTGAAATACTTGACCACAGGTGTGTCTATGGTTATTTTCTTCCAGTATGTGGCTTGTCTTTTCATCCTCTCTAGTCATTCTCAGACTTAAATATTATCATTTGATCAAATCCAGCTTACTGATATTTTTTTTCTTCGATGGTTTGTATTTTTGGTATTGTATTTAAGAACCGTTGACCTGGACCGGAGTGATAATACAGCAGATAGGGTGTTTGCCTTGCATGCAGCTGATTCGACTTCAGTCCTTGGCACCGGCACCCCATAAGATACCCCAAGCACCACCAGAAGCAATTCCTGAGTGCAAGCCAGGAGTAACCTCTGAGCATTGCTGGGTGTGACCTAAAAAAAAAAAAAGAACTGTTGACCAAGCTCTACGTTCCAATCTTTTCCCCTATATAAAAGTTTTGTTTTACTTTTTTCATTTAAGTCAGTGATACAAAAATCAAGTTTTGTGTAACGTGCGACTCTAATATCACGCATCTGTGATCAGAGGCTCAGGGGACCATATGGGATGCCAGGAATCGAACCCAGATTGACTGCATTCAAGGCACGTGCCTTCCCCGCAGTACTTTCACTCTGCCCTAATTTGAAGACTTTTGTTCTTTCATTGAACTGTTTTTGCACTTTTACGAGTACTCAACTGAGGCCTGGGAGATCATTCTAGTGGGAACCAGACCTAGGTATATGTGAGGTCCTGCTGTGGGATATCTGGCAGCCAATGGTACCCTGGGAAGTGCTGCTGTAGCTTTGGTGGCCCCCGGCTCCAGTGATGTCACACTGGCAATCCCTTAGCACTTCTAGAGTGACCATAGTGGTCTCTGAGCATGGTGGGGCCCAAGAACTGCCCTACCAGCCTGAGCACTGTTACCAGACCTTACCGCTGAGTGGAGTGTCAGCCCCATGCCTCTGCTGTGGCCCTTAGTATAAAATTTTCACTACAGCTTCAGTCCTTATGCAAAGAACTGGTAAAAATACCCTAGAAGCCAGGGAGAGAGCTCCCTTTAGCTCCGTTTTGCATAATGAAACAGATTTGACTATGCTGAGTCTCTTCCTGGGCTACTGTGAGCATCACACCTTGTTATGTGTGCAACTCATGGCGTTGTTGGAAGGGCTCCTGTAAACAGGAATTATCTCAAGTCCCTGCCAGCTGCTCTTGTCCTTGCAGGACGTTGGTTTGGCAGGGGTGCTTACTGCAGACTTCCCAGTGTACCCGAGCATTGCTGAGTTCCCTGCGTGTTTCAGGGCACACCACTTGCAAGGCAGAGTGGAAGGTGTTAGAGGCTTCTAATGGAGAAAGCTCGCCCGTGGGGCTGGGGATATAGGGGTGGGGAAGGCACTGGCCTGGGCGTGTGGACAGCCCAGTTTGATTCCCGGCCCTGTGTATAGTCCCCTGAGCACAGAACCAGGAGCAAGCCACGAGCACTGCTGGGTGTTACTCCGAAGCAGACCAATAAAAGACCCCCAGAAAACGGTCTCTGTTGGGGAAGAGGTTACACTCGGGTGTTACAAGCTCGCTGGGGCTCTGCTCTCACGCCGAGGGTCAGTCAGTGCTGGAGAGTGGAGGCCTTGCAGCGTCAATGCCACGTGAACAGCTGCGGCAGTTGGAGCCTGACTCAGTGTACGTTCCTCCCGGCAGCCCCCGCTGTGCTCTCTTCTTGATTTTTGCTAACCTGGTTGGTGTTTAATAAAATCGTGCAAAAATGTGCAGCTTTATGCCTTTGTGTATGTTCTTAGGACATTCTGCCTCACCGCCCTTTCTCTCCTTTCAGTCTATTGGCCTTTTCCTCCTCTGTCCTTGCCCCAACCACTCCCACCACCCACCCTTCCAGTTTTCATATTTCTTCCTTATTTTACTCTTTGAATGTTTCTTCATAGATATAAATACGTAACTCCAGTGCATGCTTTGTTCTTTTCCCTCTCTGTTACTTCCTCAAGAATTTAACAGGCATGTTTGAGAAACTTGTTATTTTATTTGCTTTACTCTGCTTTGGGACCACACTGAGCTGTGCTCAGGGCTTATTCCTTACTCCTGATGGGCTGTGGGAGTATGTGGGGAGACACCATCCGGGGTGCTGGCATTGAGCCTGGGTTGGCTGTATGCGAGCTAAGTGCCCTTTCTGCTCTACTATTTCTCCGACCCCCATGCTTGAGAAGTTTGAAAGGTTGTTACCTTGAGCGTCCTCCAGAGACACAGAGCTCTTAAAATTAAGCTTTGACTCATTCCCCACCTTGGACTTGATTTTTTTAAAAATGGGGTTTTTCTTCTTTATAACCTCCCTTCAAATTAATTTTTTTTGAGTCATTCTGTTAATAGAGAAAGCAGAAAGAATGATGAAGGCAGATTCTAGAAGCCTCTGTGAATGTTTCAGTGTACCTCAAGTAGTTTGTATTTTCCTGTTATGAAGCAGAAATATTAAATCTGTATTACTTTCGTCCCCAAACTCTAAATTATTAGTAACGCTAAGCAGGTGAATTGAACAGTGAACATGTTCACTGACTTGAATTGAACAGACTGGCTAGAACAAAGAGTCAGTGGGTAGATTTTTGCCAATGTCCAATTTTATTTTGCTCCGAGAGAAGTCAGCTTATGGCTTGGGCCACACTCAGCAGGGCTCGGGGGTTACTCCTTGCTCTGTGCTCAGGAGTCACTCCAGGCAGGCTCCGGGGACCATATAGAATGCCGGGGATCAAACCCACGTTGGCCACGTGCAAGGAAAACGCCCTCCATGCTGGACTATTGCTCTGGCCACTAATGTAACTTGGATCTAGAATCTTTTTTCTTATCCTATAGTCTCTAAACACAGCCTACTCTCCTGTTCAGTTTCCCTGCCAAAATCATTTATACTTTAAAAGTATTAAGGAAATCTCAGGAGAAGGGGAGTCTGTGCTCCTTCAGGCTCAGTCGCGCCATGGAGAAGTGTGTGGTCACAGTGCTCTCCTGTGCTTCCGGCCCTGATCTCTTGGCCACAGTGATCTCCTGCACTTCTGGTCTGCATCCCTCGGCCCCCTGGTACGCTTTGACAGGGCTGCGGGTCTTCACTGGTGCTCCAAAGCTCACTGTGGGCACAGGTGATTCATCTGCAGTGGTGTTTGGGCCGGCCCTGCCGCTCCCCAGGTGCCCAGCACCTGGGCTAGTCTGCAGCCACTCCAGACCAGCCCAGTATGCTCCAGTGTTTGGAAGAGTCGGCTCGCTGGGCGTGTGTCACGGGCGTTAGACCTGTCATTCACTTTATCTTTGTTCTTGTAGCTCAAATCTAATCCAAGTGAAAACGAAGAGAAGGAAGCCCGGTCCCAACTCCTCAAAGCTGATGAAATGCAGCATTTGCGTTCCCAAGCTCTGGCTGCTTTCGAAAGTGCCGATTATTCTGCTGCTATAACCTTCCTTGATAAGATTTTAGAGGTAAGTCATGCTGATGCCATGGTTGGCGAGCTAAGCGCTTTTTGGCCTCCTCTCCGCCAAGGCAGATGCTTTGACATGTTGTATGCGAAAGAAAACCCAGATGGGAGGAAGTCAGATCGGTTCTGGGATGTTCAACTTTTTTTGGTTTCTGTGTTTTTGAAAGATGGTGCATATATATAGAAAAAAAGGAATTAGAACTCAAGGTTTCCATAAGTCTGTTGAACGTGCTCTGGATGGAAATGAACTTCATTACACACTTTGTTGTTTTTGTTTGACGTCACATTTTCTTTTCAGGCAACCAAATTCTAGACAGTTGGAGAATGCAGTCAAAGATGAAAGGGCTGGTTGAAGAAAAAGGAAAAAATAGTATTTGAAAGTGGAGTGTTTAAAGTGAGACATTTCTTGGGAGTAAAAGAAGGAAGATGAGCTAATAAATCCGTAGGTTTCTAAATAGGGAAACCTATGTTTGGAATTTGCTTGTTCTGAAGAACTTAATGACAAAGTTTCAGACGGAAATCTGCTAAAAGATCCAAGTGGAGCAATCGTGATTCATATTTATCATTTTTTGGTGTACCCAATGCGTCCTGTCCTCCAGACTTGGCAGTATGCTCGTGTTGTCTGTAAATTGGGTGTTTCCTTGCTATTCTTATGAAGGAAACTGTGCAATGTAGAAATTACGTTTCACTAGGTAGTTTTATTAACTTTTTCTTAATTCCTATTAAGGAAAAGTTTATTATAAATTTACCTTTTGATAGTTACCTCTGTCTAGTTTGTTGTCTGTAGTATCAAGTGTCTTCAGTTAGGACAGTGTTGATTTAAGTATTGTGCTCAACGTGCAAAGTCCAAATGACTTGGAGATCGGGGCAGGAAGAGATGGCTCCTCCCAACACTCACCTTGTTAAGTGTGCTTTGGATTAAAATAGAACTGTCAACTTTTCCACATAATTTTTTTTTTCATGTGTGTGTATGGGCGGGAGCCATAGCACAGCGGGTAGAGCCTTTGCCTTGCATGTGGCCGACGTGGCCAACCGGAGTTCAATTCCTCCACCCCTCTTGGAGAGCCTGGCAAGCTACGAGAGTATTCTGCCCACATGTCAGAGCCTGGCAAGCTCCCCGTGATGTATTCCATATGCCAAAAACAGTAGCAAGTCTCACAGTGTTACTGTGCCCTCTTGAGCAAATCGATGAACAACGGGAGGACAGTGACAGTGTGTGTATGGTAGCACTGTAGCACTGTCCTCCGATTGGTCATCAATTTGCTCGAGTGGGCACCAGTAATGTCTCCATTGTGAAACTTGTTGTTACTGTTTTTGGCATATCGAGCACGCCACAGGGAGCTTGCCAGGCTCTGCCACGAGGGCGGGATACTCTCGGTAGCTTGCTGGGCTCTCTGAGAGGGACGGAGAAATCGAACCCAGGTCAGCCACGTACAAGGCAAACGCCCTACCCGCTGTGCTATGTGTGTATGGTATAAGCATTTAATTCCCAGGTAACATTTTATAAAGGGGAATTTCATTTAGCCATTAATAGAAGACAAATTTTTTGTGAATCTTACAAATCTCAGCCTAGATTTTATTTTTTGAGACTACAAGAATTGTTGGTTAAGTACAAAAATTGACTATGGGATTTTCTCTTTGAAATCAAATATACCTTACTGGAAAAACAAACAGACAAATAAAAAACATCTAATAGTAAATGCACTCTTATTTTCAGAATTTCAGAGATATAATTGAATAGTTTCAAAAAGGCTTTTTAAAGATTGTTATTTCAGATGTTCTTGGAGAGTTTATATTGTTGCATACATCTGTTTATTTTTGTCACGTTTTCGTTGTTTATTTATTTATTTGCTTTTTGGGTCACACTCAGCAATGCTAAGGGTTACTCCTGGCTCTGTGCTCAGGACTTACTCCTGGCAATGCTCAGGGGACCATATGGGATGCCGGGAATTGAACCCGGGCCAGCCACAAGCAAAGCAAATGCTCTACCCACTGTACTATCGCTCCAGCCCCCTATTTTTGTCACATTTAAATGAAATTTTGAATACTGTTGGAATTTACAATAGAATAATCACAGGAGTGGACGATCTTTTGTGTTGATATATATGTAGATGAAAATACTATAAGGCTTGAAGTATGAATGTGCATAATTACTGTGTTTTAATGCTTTTAATTCTTTTGTTTCTCAAGGTTTGTGTTTGGGATGCAGAAATACGGGAACTTCGAGCTGAATGTTTTATAAGAGAAAACGAACCTCGGAAAGCAATAAGTGACTTAAAAGCCGCATCAAAACTAAAGAATGATAACACGGAGGCCTTTTATAAGATCAGCACACTGTACTACCAACTCGGGGACCACGAGCTGTCTCTCAGGTGTGTACATGCAGTAAGAGAATCCCATTTCCTTTTTCATTCAAAGTCAGTAAAATGTTGGTTCAGATGTTTTTTTTTTTTAACATTCTCAGAGTATTTGTGTTATCCCTTCGTTCTCCTTCCACAGTTTATTTTCATGAAATATGCTTGCTAAATAAAGTAGGAGGACTGTTCTATTTGCAGTTGCAAGATGGAGTGCATAGCTCAACTTGCCCATTTACTTGGACCTAATAAATTTGCGATCTGGTGTCTTGCTCTGTATGAGTGTATGGCACATTATGACGTCAGTAGTCTGGTTTACGTTTAGCGAAGTAAGGTCATTTTTATTGAAACTTTTGTTGGATGACCACGAATCACCAAGTTGCAGTGATATTTACTATTGAGTTTCAGGCATACATTGCTCCAACCCCTTAGTTTCCCTCCTGTCCCCTGAACTTTCCTCCATGGCAGGCACTTTTCCCCTCCCCCATTGTCCCCTTGTGTGTTCTTAACCTCTCCCCCCAACCCTCAGCCAGTGGCAAGCTTCCTCCTCCCAAAGACCAGCTCTGCTCTTTATGAAAGTGAAACTTATTTAGGAAGCTGTGAGGGGAGGGAAAGGGGGAGGTACTTGTTGCCAAGAGGATACCGGCTTCTCCAGAGTTAAATAGGCGAGCCAGCCAGGAACAGGTTCCAGGGAGAACACGGCTCCAGAGCCAGCCAGGACATCTTGTTGACTTGTTATCCTTTATTGAGATATATTTTAGTGTAGAAAACTACTCATTGGTTATTTTGACCTGCCTGCTTCTCCTCTTTTTAAATATCTGAACAGTGAAGTTCGTGAATGTCTCAAACTCGACCAGGATCACAAAAGGTGTTTTGCACACTATAAACAAGTTAAGAAACTTAACAAGCTAATTGAATCGGCGGAAGAGCTCATTCGAGATGGCAGGTAAGAGAATGTCGGCATCATCCAATGCGACTCTTTTCCTTTTCTGGTGGACAAGAATGAAGACTGAGGGCTCTTCCTTCTGAGCCTTTGAAAGGGGAGTGTCCTGAGGCAGGACCTCAGCCGGGTTCCCACTGGCGTGTTTTGCCTGTGGCAGCCCAGATGAATGCACCCGCCTGGGATTCTTCCTAGCTGATCTGCTCCAATTTCACCGCGTCCTTCCTGGGCCTCGCCTGTCTCATGCCCTGACTATGCGCAGGGTGTGGACACGAATACGATTTGAGTTCTTGGTCTTAGCTTAGGATGCAGATTCGGATGAGGCATATACTATAACTACAAAAGAACTGTGCTGGGGCCAGAGAGTCCAGAGGGCCAGAGCACTTGGCCTGCATGCAGTGACCCAGGTTCCCTCCTTAGCACTGCACATGGTTCCCTGAGCCTGCCAGGAATGATCCTAAGTGCAGAGCCAGAGCCAGAGTAAACCTGTGTGGGTCCCAAACCAAAAAACCCCCAAAAACTGAACAACAAAAAAAAAACAAAGGTGGGGGTGGGTGAGCTAATGTCCTTCCCAGAGGAACAGGTATGTCCAGAATATGCAGAGCTTTTGCTCTAGGTATAGGAATTCTGGGCCAATGGTATCCTTGCTCCATCACCTGAAAAATATCCTACTGCTCCTTTCTGGTCTCCATGATTCCCGATGAGGAATTCATTGTCAGTCTAATTGTTTTCCTCCTAAGAGTAAGGTTGTCATTTTCTTCTGATTGCTTTCAAGATTTTTTTTTTTTATAATTTATTTATTTATTGAATCACTGTGGGAAAAGTTACAGAGCTTTCAGGTTTAGGTCTCAGTCATGTAAATATCAAACACATTTCCCTTTACCAATACTTATTTTTTACCGCGAACCCCAATAGAACCCCACCTCCCACCCCTCCCAATTCCTGTGAGGCAGATGAGTTCTAGTTAACACTCTATCTACTTTGACTAGATTCATTGTTTCGATAAAAGATGCACCATTATTATTTAGAGTTTACCCCCCCTCCCACCCCCCTCCCCCCACCAAATCAGACATGCTGAAAAAGTGTGGTGAAATGATTTGCTTTCTACAGCTGGGTTTAAGAATTAAATGTTGTCGCGCGGCCGCTATTGTGGCTGCGCGGTTTTGGATTTCTGCTATTTTACTTCTTAACCCTGGAAGTATTTCTGCTAAAAGTCAGATAATTAAGAGAGATTGGTTTCTGTGCTCTGGAGTCGTGGCCGTGCCAGAGAGCCGCTCGTGGGGGGCAACTGGTGACCTTGGTAGGGCGTGAAGGACGGGCCCGAACGCCCCCCTTCCCATGAGGTTTTAGTCGCTCCCACACCCCCAGCTCATACCTGCTGTCCACAAGGCTCCCATGCGGCCGCCATCTTTCTTTCCAGAGAGACAAGATTTTTTTTTTTTTTTTGTCTTGAGTGTTCAGAATTTTAATGATGTTGTATGTAGATGTGGCTTTCTTTTGGGGGTCACCTTAGTGTCTAAAACGTGTGGACTGGTAACAGATTTAGGTACTTTTCAGCCTGTTTCTTGGATGACTTCTCAGTCCCTTGTCTCACTTCTTGAGTTAATAGCCCCATACAGGCCCCCATTTATATTTTTTATTTATTTTCTGTCTGTTGCTCCGATTTGGGAGTGGTCCTGGTTTTCTGTTTTCCTGGTCCCCTCCATTCTGTTGACAAGCAGATACAACTGGATTTTTATTTTTGGTTTTTATAGATATATTGGGCTGGAGCGATAGCATAGCAGGTAGGGCATTTGCCATGCACGCAGCCAAAATGGCCAACCCGAGTTCAATTCCTCCGCCCCTCTCGGAGAGCCCAGCAAGCTACCGAGAGTATTTCGCCTGCACGGCAGAGCCTGGCAAGCTACCCGTGACGTATTCGATTGCCAAACACAGTAACAACAAGTCTCATAATGGAGATGTTACTGGGCCCACTCGAGCAAATCGGTGAACTACGGGAGGACAGTGATACAGTGATACAGATATCAGTTCTAAAAATTCTATTTCAGGCTGGAGCAATAGTACAGCAGGAAGGATGTTGGTGTTGACCGCAGCCAACCTGGGTTTGATCCCTGGCATCCCATATGGTACCTTGAGCCCTCCAGGAATAAGCCCTGAGCATCGCTGGGTGTGGCTCCCACCCCCTGCCCCCACCCCCTCAAAAAAAGAAAATTAAAAAATAATTACATTTGGATATCGTTCTTATTTCCTCTCCTTTTTTGCTGGGGCCTTCTGTTTTTCTCATTGCTTTAAACATATTTGTCATTGCTGTTCCCCCCCCCCCCCCCCGGCCACTTTATAAACCTTTCTCAGGCCATTCGAACACGTCTGTCTTCAGGGTGCTAGAATTTGGTGCTTTTTTCTCATTCCCTAGTTATTGGGAATGATACTTGGCTTCCCATTGAAATCTGGACATCTCCATTGTATGAAACCACGTTTTCTTTAACTCTTCTCTTCTGGCTGGCCTTTCTGGTGCTGCTGACCCAGCAAGGTGGGGGACCCTGTCACAGCCAGATGGAGCTATACTTTGTCTCCTGCATGGGCCTCTTCTTCCTCTTGGTGCAGGAGAGCCAAGGTTTGGGGTACTCGTTTCTGCCCGTGGATGGAAGTTCTGTATCCATTTCTTTCTTTCTGTGGTTTGGGGGCTGGACCTCTTGGGGCTCATGGACTACCCCTGATTCTGCATATGGGAGTTGGTCCCAGTGGTGATCAGGGGCTCAGGTGGTGCCAGAGATGGAAACCCCGGTGCTCCTGTGTGTAAAGCATGTGCTCAGCCCCCTGAGCACTCCCTCCAGCCCAGATATTTTCTATCTTTTTTTGTTTGTTTTGGGGCCATACCTGGCAGTGTGCAGCGCTTACTTCTGGCTCTGCGCTTGGGGATTACTCCTGGCAGGCTCAGGGGACTCTGTGGGGTGCCAGGGATGGAACCCAGGTTGGCCATGTGCAAGGCAAATGCTATACCATGTCCACTGTGCCGTCGCTCCAACCCTCCTGATTATTGTTTCCATATGCTCTGCTCCATTTCCCACATTTGGTGGACCATTCTGGCAAACTTGCAGAGCACCGTCCCAGCTGACGGATTGCTTCTCTTTAAAACCTTATATTTAAACCTGTGCTTTATTTATTTATTTGGCGGGGAAAGGAGGGAGTTGGGTCACACCAAGAGATGGCCAGGAATTACTCCTGGCAGTGCTTGGGGGACCATATGGAATGCTGGGGATTTGAACCCCGGTTCGCTGGATGCTAGGTAAATGCCCCGTCCGCTGTCCTATCACTCTGGCCCCTAAACTTGTGCTTTTAAAGCAGCAGAAGGTTGCAGCCCTTGGGAATGGTGCCACAGTGCCAGGTAAATAGAGATTTGTCTGTTTTCTTTCCGTTTGCCATCACTGGGGAGATCGCTCTGTACTTAGGGCATCTAGCTCTCAGAATCAGGTTTTGTTTGTTGACTTTTTAATGCTGAGAGATCTTTCAGTGTTCTTTGGAAGTAGAAAGTGGAGGCTGAGATGTGAAGCAGGTCCCTTCAGCTGGAAGTCCTTGCCCCAAATTGCGAGGATGGACATTCTTTATGTGCAGCTGCATGCCAGGGTGCACAGACCAAGGATGGAAACTGACTGTGGATTTCTGGCACTTCCACGCAAGTCAGACCCCAACCCAGTGTGCCATTCAGTTTGACTGACAGTCATGAGCATCCTTGTTTTGTGAAGGAATGTCCTCATGTTTCAGTCTGGATGGTGTTCATAGTGTGTGTTGATCTGGCCTTGACCTCCTGGGGGCACTGTAGTAACCCTGGGTGCAAACGGGTGTGGGTTGAGTGATTGGTTGTTTTGGAAAGGGGGCGGTAAGCTCATAAATGAATTTAGGAGCCTCTGCTCTAGACTAAGAAGGGAAACCATCTTTTTAATTTTTTAAATTATTATTATTATTATTATTATTTTTTTGTGGGGTCTACACTTGGCGATGCTCAGGGGTTACTACTGGCTCTGAACTGAGGAATCACTCCTGGTGGTGCTTAGGAGACCATATGGGATGCCAGGGATCGAACCCGGGTCAGCCGCGTGCAAGGCAATTGCCTTACACACTGTACCATCGTTTTGGCCCCACGAAGGGAAGGGAAAAGTTTTGGTTTTTGGGTTTTTTTTTTTTTTGAAAAAAATCATTCTTTATTTTGACCAGCAGGTGGAGCCCTTTGGATATATTTCGCCTCTAACATAGCAATATAATAAAAGCCTTTATTGTATCTTTTCATTTTTAAATTTTTTTTTATTTTTATGTAGTTGTTTGATGATTTATTATGTAGAACAATGATTTATTACAGTAACTATTCCAACACCAATCCCACCACCATTACGATTTACCACCACCGTTATTTCCAATTTTCTCTCCACCACCCAAGCTCGCCCCAACAGCAGGTCCTAAATAATTCAGTTTGTATTGCATGTTATGAATAATTCTCTAAAAATTATCAAAAAAGATTTTCTTATAAGAAAGTGTGTGAAGATTGTTGTCTTTCATCCTGGAACCATTTAGCCCTTGTATCAGAGATTATTAACAGGTTGTTACGGGTTAAGCCTTGTGTGTTAATATTTTCTTAATTGAGACTGGGTTCCTTCTACTTTACGTCCCATCCAAGGTGGTGCGCTACTCCTGGTACATCAGTGGTGTAGAGTATGAGATGTCGCTCTAAGGATTATAAAATTTTGAATGGGGTGGTACAGCTGGAGTTAAATTTTTAAATTTATGGTGACTTTGGGGTCCAGAAGCATCTCCGTAGCTCACTGATCTCCTTTGATATTTATTTGTGAGTCTCTGGATCAAGGCCGGTGAATGAGCTTATATGACACCAGAGGCAGTTGATGGGCGTGACTTCCAGGTTCCTGGAAGAACAGGGGGATGAGGGAGTTTGTTCATCCCCGACTCCATCAGAGCCTGGAGATTTCAGTCACAAAACCCATATGCCTGAGTTTTTCAACAGATTCATTCCTGGATGAGGCTTGTCCCGAGCCCCTGCAGTACAGACGTGAGCATGGCAGAGATTGGGTCCTGGAGGTTATTGGCTGCCAGGGTTCTGTTTGGGCTGGTGGTGGGCTCACCTGTCCCCCAACGGGGCGCCCCGGATAAAACTCAGCCTGGCTTGGGGAGTCCAGAAGGGAAAGGCTTTGAAAGTACCTGCTTGTGCAGGTGACCGGTCAGGCAATGTAGGAAGCCAAGAAGTGGCTCCTTTCCCTGGCTCTGGAAATAAAATCTCACTGTTTCTCCTCCTCCTCCGCCCCTTTCTCAGATACACTGATGCGACCAGCAAATACGAGTCTGTCATGAAAACAGAGCCGAGTGTCTTGGAATACACAGTTCGTTCCAAGGAAAGGATCTGCCACTGCTTCTCTAAGGTAAGGGTTGCCGCATTCCCGGAAGTGCCAAAGGTCTGCAGCCTGCAGAGTGCCCCCCGCCCCCCATGCAAACCCTTTCCTCATGTTTTCTTTTAGGACGAGAAGCCCGTGGAAGCTATTCGAGTGTGCTCGGAGGTCTTGCAGATGGAGCCCAACAACGTGAATGTTCTGAAAGACCGCGCAGAGGCCTACCTAATCGAGGAGATGTACGACGAAGGTAAATGTGCAGCTTAGCACACCACAGCTCCGTGCTGCTGCAGGCGACGCTAGCCTGACTGGCGTCCCCCTGTTGAAACAGAAAGGCCTGGGAAGTTTGGTGAGTTTAAGAAAATGGCAGAGAACTGGACCCCAGAGGGTATCAGAGGAGGAAAGATTTCTGCTGTTGAAACCAGCTCCCTAGAACAGAAAACTAAAGGCGCCGGGGAGATAGCACAGCGAGTCGAGGGCGCTTGCCTTGCACCTGGCAGACCTGGGTGTGATCCCGGGGATCCGCCAGAGCCCTGCCAAAAGTAATTCCTGAGCAGTGAGTCAGGAGTAAGCCTTGAGCACCATTGGGAGTAGCTCCCCAAACTAAACAAACAAGAACTTAAAAAGACACCATTTTAAACTACGTTTGTTGTAGATAAGTCAGTAAGCATAAATAACAAAATAGAAAATTTAGTTGACAGGTCTCATTCCACCCAGAGGTGGTCACTCTCATTTGGGATTTGTATCTCCAGCCTTTGTCTGTGCGTACATGGGTGCACATATACCGTGCACGCACACGTGCCACTGAACTCTAGCTGCACATGTGACACTTAACTCTAGCCGCACACGGTCCCTGAGTATGCCCGTGGGTCCACATAGAAATGAGCAGCATGAGAACTGCTCGCCCTGCCGTCGGAGAGCATGTTATAAGGACTGGGGTGGGTGGGGGCAAGACTGGGAGCTCTTTGGGTGGGGCAAGATAACAGGAATAGAAATTGGGGGAAAAAAAAAGATGCCTTTTGTTGAGAGGGCTTTTTACCGGAAGTGAGCCTTATAGTTTACTGCAAACCTTTGGTTTTCAAATCAGGTAAAGAAATTTTTTTTTTAATTAGAAAAACTTTTTTATTCTGATAAACTTGATCAGTGGTACTTGTTTTCAGTTAGGTGCTGTGTGTTTAATAAACAGTCTGCAGCTATTAAAAGTAGTATGCATTTAGTATCCCTCAGGTCAGTGAATTTTCTCCTCCCACAAAGGAATCAGTGTTGGCAGCAGATAGTTTTATGTGCCTCTGAGGCTGCCTCCCAGGGACAGAAAGCAAATAGAATGCCCGTGCAGCAAGACTCGGGGATGCTGAGGGTGAGACTGGGCTCCGGCCCACTGTTTGTGGCCTTATCCCTCTGCTACCCTGCCCACTTTGGGCGGGGAGACAGAAGGGGTGTGTATGCCTGGGGCTGTACCCTGGCTCTGCTCGGGGCTCTCTCCTGGTGGTGCTCAGAGGACCTTATGCAGTAGTGGGAATTGAACGTGATCTGCTGTGCAAAGCGTGCCCCTCACCCTTGTGTTATCTCTCTAGCCCCTGGCCCTCTGTGGCAGCAGCCTAATTCTCGGTTTTCCTGGCTTCTCATACTTGGAAAAAAGTCCTTGCTTTTAAATGATTTCCTAGGACTGGTGACAACTCTGGTTACTGCTGTTTCTAGGACATTTTCCTAACTTGGTTCTTGACATCTAATTAGAACCTGAAATGTGTGCCCTCAGAATCCACGTTTAATGTTCATGAGAGTGTTTCCGCAGGTACAGTAGTACATTTGTTCTTTTCGCTTGCAAAACCACTGTGTCTGCTCAGTGAAATGGCTCCACTCTTGAATCTCGTTTGTTTTCGGAACTCTTCAAGATGGTTTTGTGGGAGCTGGAGTGATAGTACAGTGGCTAGGGCGTTTGCCTTGCATGTGGCTGACCCGGGTTCTATTCCCAGCATCCCATATGGTCTTTGATCACTGCCTGGAGTTATTCCTGAGTGCAGGGCCAGGAGTAACCCCCTGTGCATCGACCGGGTGTGAGCCAAAAAGCAAAAACAAACAACAAAAAGATGGTTTTGTCATCTGTACTTTATCCATGTGAAACAAAAGATACACAGAAGAATATAAAAGACTTGCCTGCCAAGAACCATTAAGTTGGGACAGAGATAGGACAGTGGGCAGGATGCTTGCCTTGCACATGATCCACCCAGGTTCAATCCCTGGTACCCCATAAATGATCCCCCAGTCCCCCAAGTGAGCCCTGAGCTCAGAGCTAGGAGTAAGCCCCGAGCACCACCGGACGTGGCCCCCAAGCAAACAAAAACAAACCGTTAAACCTTGTAGGCTCTTAAATGTAACTTAAAAGATGCCTCTTTCAAACTACATCTAACTTTTATCATAGATTTTTTTTTCTCTTTTTTGGTTCACACCTGGTGATGCACAGGAGTTACTCCTGGTTCATGCACTCAGGAATCACTCCTGGCAGTGCTTGGGGGACCATATGGGATGCTGGGAATTGAACCTGGGTCGTTCGTGTGCAAGGCAAATGCCTTACCCACTGTGCTATTGCTCTAGCCCCTACATCTAACTTTTAAATTACACTAACTTAAATGTCAAACTCACTTATTTTTTTTTCTTTTTGGGTCACACCTGGCGATGCACAGGGGTTACTACTCTTGGTTCTGCACTCAGGAATCACCCCTCGCGGTGCTCAGGGGACCATATGGGATGCTGGGAATCGAACCTGGGTCAGCCGTGTGCAAGGCAAACGCCCTACCCACTGTGCTATTGCTCCAGTCCCAATCTCACTAAATTTTTAAAGAAATTTAATAGTTTCTTGAAAAAGAGTTTGCTTAATAACCAACGTAATAGGATAGATCTGTCTTTGAAGTCTGTTTTTCCTTTTTAATAGATTTATTCTTTGTCTCTTAGGGTTTTTTTCCTGGGGAACCCTTCTGAATTATTATTTCATAAGTTAACTGACTGAGTAACAGGGGTGAGGAGTCAGTTTCCCAGGTGGGAGGGAGGGAGGGAGCACATCAGGGCCCCGCCGGTGTGGGGGGACAGGGAGGAAGCCAGGATCAGTGAAACTCAGAATGTCACTTGTTTGAATTCCATGGTCACGGTATTCCTGTTGTTCATCAATTTGCTTGAGCGGGCCCAGTAATGTCTCCATCGTGAGACTTGTTACTGTGTTTGGCATATCGAATTCGTCCCAGGTAGCTTGCCAGGCTTTGCTGCGTGGGCAAGGTACTCTTGGTAGCTTGCCGGGCTCTCCAAGAGGGGCGGAGGAATTGAACCTGGCTCGACCCGGCCGGCTGCGCGCAAGGCAAACACCCTACTGCTGTGCTATCGCTCCATCCTGTTTGAATTCCAATCAGGTGTAAATGAGCAATGTCTGCTATGACCTAGGCCAACATATAATATGATAAAATTAGAAAAAAATGTTCTTTATTATGAATTCTGGTTTTACCTTTTGCAAATCGGTGATTGAAAATGAAGGTAGGAGAGATGGTCCAGCAGGTAGGGCTCTTGCCTGTGTAGGCGGGTTCCATCCCTGGTCCCCATGTGGTCCCCCGGCACCACCAGGAATAGTTTCTCAGTGCAGGATCAGGAGTGAGCCCTGAGCACCGCCGGGTGGGGCCCCCAAACAAAAACAGAGTGATGATAGGTATATCCTGAGTGAAGGAAACGTTCGTTTCGATTAGTAATAAGGGAGCATCCTTTGTAAGCACGAGGGAGAATCAGGGGAGATCCCAGGGATCCCTCGCACTAGAGCATAAGTGTGTGACGGATGTCCCCGCACTTTCGATCCTTTGAGGCGAGACCTGAAGTGTAGCCGCTGGAGCCTGTGGCCTTTCCCTGTAATGTTCTGGGCCCCTACCCCACCCCCATTCTCTTTCCCCTTGTGGGTGCCCCTTTTGACAGACCCACACTCAGGCACAGGGTCCCGCTCCCCCAGCCCTCTCCACCACCTGTTGTTGGGGTCCGGCCTTCTCCGTGAGGGCGAGGAGGGACTCGTGCGGGCTGGAGTTGTGCCGAACTTTTGTGTGCTCGGGGCCGTCTGTGTATCTGCTGTGTGTGACGTCGGTCACGCGTGGCGCCCTTCCGGGTGGTATTTACAGAGGCTCTGGGAGAGGCCCAGCTTGCAGCTGCTGGGAGGCGCTCCCGCGGGAATGACACCGGTTTCAGGTCCCGCTGGGAGCATCCAGGACATAGCGGTGGGTGCTCCACCAGACCAGCCGCTGTGGCTGGGTCACTGTCCCGTTGACCTGGAGAGCAGGAGTCCTGGAACCGCCTGGGCAGCGCTGCCAGCCCACTGGTGACCCTGAGTATGGCTTCTCGGCAGACCCCATCATTTACCTTGGAACTTGATGAGGAGATGCTGAGTGAGGGTCGGCACGTTCTCCCAACCTGCTTGTGTCCAGCATGTCCCCCCTGCACATGCCACTCAGCTGTGCCCACCCGAAGGAAAAGGGCCGGATTGGAGATATCTGTGGGAAACTGTCGACCCGGCGTGGCTGCTCTCAGTGTGAGCCCCGGCAGGAAGGGGCTGCCTGCTCCACTGGTCCCGGGGGAGGAGAAGGGGAATCTCTCCTTTCCGGGACTGCTTGGGGCTCTGCCTTCCTGTGCTGGAGACGTGTGACTCTTTCGTATTCCTGTCATGGCCAGGAACATAGGCCACTAGGATCAGTGGGGCACACATTTCTGGAGCGCCAGATCTTGAAGCAGAAGTATCTTGTTTGGCTTCCCCTAAGCAGCTTGTTGGAAGCAGGGGCTGGACTAGAAAGTGGCTGGGCCTGGGGCTGGAGCCATCGTACAGCGGGGAGGGCATATGCCTCACTCGGGGCTTGCTCAGGTTCCATCCCTGGCTCCCCATCTGGTCCCCCAGGCTGCTAGGGGTGATCCCTGAGTTCAGACCCAGGAGTAAGCCCTGAATACAACAGGTGTGGGAGTGTGTGTGAGAGAGAGAGAGGAGGGGGGAGGGGGAAGAGAGATGGAGGGGGGGAGATAGGAAGATCGAGTAGAGGAGAGAGAGTTGTGGAGAAGGAGCAGGAGAGAGGGAGAGGGATGGGGAAGAGAGAAGAGATAGGAAGAGAGAGGGAGAGAGGAAAAGAGAAAGAGGAGGGAGGGGAGAGAGAGAGAGAGAGAGAGAGAGAGAGAGAGACAGAATGACTGGCCCTTTGCACAGACGGTCAGTGTAAGGTGCTACCTGGTAGGCCGAGCTGAACC